ACCATGCGTGTGGGGCCAGCTCTGAGGCATCTGCCGTCGCTTCCAAGTTTTTTAGGTTGCCCCCAGGAGGCGACTTACCTTCTGACCCCTCGAAGTTTTTGTCTGTGCCCCCCTGCCCTGATTGCGTTCCAGTTGTCGATCGAAACGGTGAACTGTACGAGTTGGTCTTCCATCGAGGCGTGGCTTGTAACCACGTCTGCAAACATCGTTCTCGTGCAAGAGCACCACATCGTATCGGACGACGACGTAGCCAAGGCAGGACAATGGGCACTAAAGAGGGGTTGGAAATCTCGATTCAATCCAGCTATCAGAACCGCTGCAGGAGGCACCTCGGGAGGTGTCGCAATTTTGGTCCGCTCCTTCCTGGGCTTTCACGATCCCGAGTTCGGCCCGATCGTCGTCCCGTCCAGGGCTATGAGTGGAATCGTCCAGGTGCCAGGGGCCGTTACGGTTTTGGTCTCATCGGTTTACCTGTACGACAGCGAAGAGCTTACACGCAGGAATCTTGACATACTGGCGGCCGTCTCGGCCAGGCACTCGCTCTACGAGGGTCCCAAACGTGATGGGCGGCGACTTCAATATGATTCCAGAGGTCCTGGTTTCTTCGGGGGTCCCTGGGTATCTGAAGGCGAATGTTATATATCCTGATATCGACACATGTTCTAGTACTGGGGGTCTTCGAGTCCTGGATTATTTTGTGCTATCGTCAGGTTTTACCCGTTGCATTCAGGGGGTCACCGCCGCCCCCGATAGCGACATCAAGACGCACACGCCCGTGCGCATTCTCGTCCACCCGCAGTTGGCTGAGCTTAAGGCCCTCACTTTCCTCCGACCGCCGAAGTTGCCAGCGGAGTGCCCGATTGGCCCCGCGCCGCGCACGGAGAATCACGCCCACGTTTTGGACTGCGCCCGAGAAGGGCGAGAGCTTATCCAGGGGCGCGAGCCCAGAGGCAAAATTCAGAAGCACCTAGACGTTTTGTACCGAGCTTGGGCTGATGCTGCTGAGTGGGAGTTATCCAGGGTCCTTCAGACGGAGCTCATCATTTGGGGCTCCCGCGGACGTCGGCCTCGTTTGGCCTGGGTTTCGGCTCTGGAAAAAGATTCGCGACCCCCGACTCGTGATCCTGGCCGTGTTGCTGGTAGGTGGTTGTCAAGGACTACGAGGTTCATCTTGGGGGCTTTCGACTCTGGAGATTCTGGAGCGTTTAAGCGTTATAGGGCCCACTTTCTGGATCCCCCTCCTCATGTTCAACGTGCTTGGGAAGGGTTTCAAGATGAATATCGTCTTGGGTGCGAACTCCTTCATGGTTTTCAGGGTGTTTGTGAAGACGATTCACGTTTTCGAGAGTGTCACGCTCAACTTGAACCTAGATTAGCAGAGTATGCTAAGTCTTCCTCACAGCGTTCGTTAAAGGAGTGGCGCAGTTGGCTTTTGGACGGCGTCGACAAAGGGGGAAAAACGCCCACCGCTGGACCCGCGAGCTGAAGCCCTGGGTGGCCACGACCACGCTGCCTGCCGACGGCTTGGTCCTCTCGGATTCCATGTCCCTCCTGAAGTCGGAAGGTGAACGGTTCGGGGCTCTCTGGGAGTCTGCCTCGCACCCGCCGCCCGAGGATCAGGAGCCCCTCGAGTTCTTAGAGCCTTTGGAAGTACTCTCGGCGGACGATTTGATAGCTGTGAGTAAGACTTATGCTTTAGGCACGGCTTCCAGCGTTGATGGTTTCACATGCGGCATTTCGCCCTTATGCATCCCGATTTGCTGATTGCCGTCAGCGCCATGTTTTCGATGATGGAGGCCACCAGTCTGTTGCCCCACCCCGCCCAGGTGCTGCTCACGTTACTGCTTCAGAAGCCTGCAGGAGGCTACCGCCCGATAGGGCTTTTTTTTCGGCACTCTATAGGCTGTGGGCTCGCGCTCGGCGCCCTTACGCAGAGCGATGGGAAGCCGAACATCAGCGTCTCTATTTGGCTTCAGGCTCGTTCAATTCAGCCTCGGATGTGGTGTATCGTCAGGGAGTAAAGAGCGAACATATAGTCGGTCGAGGGATGAGCTGTTGTAAAGTGTTGTGGGACCTATATAAGTTCTACGAAACGATTCGGCTTCCCAAGCTCCTCGACCGTTGCCAGTTGCTCGATTTCCCGATGCAGATCGCCAGAGTATCTTATAGGGCTTATCGTGGGGCTCGTTTCATATCGCTAGGAGGTCTTCTTCATGGACCTCACTTCGTCACGCATGGGGTGGTTGCTGGTTGTAGCATAGCGGCTTCGTACGTCAGGGTTTACATCATCCCAACCGTGGATCCCATCAGGCTCCCCAAGCAGGTCTCCTTAGATATTAAGATAGACGACTATGGGCTGTCGAGTTCGGGGACTTCGAAATCGGTCGTGTCGTCTTTGAAGCGGGCCTCGGTGGACCTCCTGGTGGCCCTGGAGACCGATATGGAGGCTACCATTTCCACCGACAAGGCGGCAGTAGTGGCTTCTCACGCCGACGTAGGCCAGGGGATGAAGTCGTTTCTCGGAGCGTACGGCGGCCCCTCGGCGGACACCAGCTCTGCTATCAACCTCGGGGTCGACGACGGTGCTGGAAAGGCTCGCCGCACCAAAGGTCGGGGTAGGAAGGCTCAGGCTAGACAGGCTCAGTTTAGAGCACGCTGCCGACGGGTGCTGAAGGCTCGTCAAGCTCTAGGCCGTCACACCCGCAGGATTTTTGTTTCAGGGCCGCTGGCATCAGTTACTTACGGTCCAGAGGTTTATGGGGTTTCTGACTATGAGTTGGGAATGTTACGTTCTGGATTTGGGAAGTCTGTCAAACCTTCGGCGGGGTCCAGGTCCCTTACTTCGCTGTGTATTCTGGAAGGGGACCCAGTTTATCATGCGGCCATTTCTCCGATTGCCAGATATTCCAGTGAATTGTGGGATGCCCAGGTTCAGCAGACTCCCTTTGCTTTAGGCTTCGCGGGTCTACGCGACGCTTGGACTCAGACGTGGGCCAACCCGCCAGCTGCGTGGCGGCAGGTGCGGGGCCCCATAGGTGCTATGTTTCTGTCCCTCAAGCGCATCGGCTGGAGCATGCCCAGCTACGCGCAGATGACGAACGACCTTGGCGTCACCTTCTCTCTCACGACCTCTTCCCCCAGATTGATCAAGAACCTTCTGCGGGAAGCTGTCATTCGTCAACTGTGCAGGCTGTCAGGCGAGAAGCTCGGAGTTGGTGCCAGGCTCTGCTACGATTCTGTGATTCGCGACCTCAGCAGTTCGAAATACACGCCGTTCGAGAAAGGCTCGATCAGAGCCAACGTCTGCGGTGCCTGCTGGACCAAGGAGCGTGCGACCCAGTGTGGTTATCAACTCCAGGACACGAGTTGCGCTTTGTGCGGCGGGCCCTCGGACTCGATTTTCCACAGGCTTTGGGTTTGTCCTGACCCTGAGGTCGCGGAGCTCAGACAGGAAATTGTAGATCCCGATGTTTTGCAGGCGGCCAATGAGATTGACCCTGCTTCGTGTTCCATGGAGGACTGGATTTTGTTCACCAAGGGTCTCTTCCCACATCCTGGGGACCTTCACCCCCGTCCTGTTCCTGAATGTGCTCCAGAGTTTCGATGGGAGGTAGATCAAGAACACGAAGATGAGCAACTGTTTTCTGGTTCTTATGTTTTCATGGATGGTTCTTGTCAGAAGCACGTAGTGAAATAATTAAGCAGGGCAGGGTGGGGCATAGCGGTTTTCGATTCTCAGCAGGTTTTGAAGCTTAGAGCCTGGTCCCCCCTGTGGGATCGGTTCCCCCAGACCCCTCAGGCGGCCGAGTTCGGGGCTCTAGCTTATTCTAGCCTTTGCCTCACTGACCCTGCTCCAGGTTACACAGACTGTCTGAATGTGTGTAGGGCCTTTAAGTTCGACCGTTCTAAGAAGCTGTCGTACAAGAGGCCCTACTCGGGCCTCATGATTAATGTTTTGGGGACCCGTTTTTCTGATTTGTTCAAAGTGAAGGCCCATGTGGCCGAGTCGGACGATCTCTCCCCCGAAGAGCGTTTCTTTAAAATCGGGAATGACGAGGCTGATCGATCAGCCAAGCTTGGGGCCGCTGCTCACCCCAGGTGCACTGATGAGCAGCAGACTAAGTTGGATTGGCAGCTCAAGGTGTCGCGCACAGTCTCGCGCCTTGCGGCCAAAGTCCTCGTTTCTTGGCCCCGTCTGGACCTCGCAGACGTTCCCTACATCGCTCCTCCTCGCCCTCGCCGCATTGGGGCTGAGGTGCCTGAGGGAGAGCATGTCTGGGTTTGGGTCAAGTCTTTTTGGAGGTGCAATCGTTGTCTCAGATTTCGCAGGCAAGCAGCGCGCCCCTCGTGCGAGGGCTGCGCAGGAGACCTGCCTCTGGTTGCCCGTTCTGTGATTGAACGGGGTCATTCGTGTCTGGCGCTCGAGTGCTCGAACGATCAGATCTTAATTATCTGCACCCGCTGCAAAGCGTTTTCGACCCTCGGACAATTTAAGCAGCTCCGCCATGAGTGCACACGCCCACTCGCAAAGGCAGCGGAGTATTGGTCCAGGGTGAAGCGCGGCTGGCACCCGAAGGAACGCATTCGGGTGGAGACAATCCCCATCAGGGAGTAATGCTGGTGGCTGGCAGGGCGCTCGTCAAAACTCCTCCTCCTCCCCCTCCTCATCGTCCTCCTCGTCCTCGTTGTCCTCCTCCTCCTCCTCCTCCTCCTCCTCCTCTTCATCCTCGTGGGTCTCAGGATTGGGTTTCCTGTGGAAGGCTCCTCGTGGTCGGCGCCCCTGCTGTCAGCGCCCGACCCGTGCTCGCCCCTCCCTCTGTCCACTCTCGGGGAGCCCCCCCCCAGATCCGACGTCCTGACCTCTTTAGCATTGAGTCGGGCACGTCCCTCCACACGGGGAATATTCAAAACATAGTTAAAACAAAGTCTGGGGACCATTTGAGTATCTTTAAGGTTTCATCCCAAATCCGCCTGTATGGGGACATGCCCGACCGAATTTTAGCACGTAGCCATATTTGCCCAAGGCTCTGGACCCCCCTCGCACTGACTGCTCGCGCGCTGCGCCCCCGCCCAAGGTCGGGCGTTGCTGGAAGCACCCCTGGCCCAAGGTCTCCCCCAGGATTCTCGGGAAGGGCCCAGACGGCCTCCGGGGCACCCCTCACGGGGCCCAGAGGGCCCCAGGGGCTCCGAAATGAAATGAAAAGCTGGGGGCCTTTGACGTCGAGAGCACAGCGCCCCGCAAAACGACTGCAGGGACGCCCTGGGGGAAAGCGCGAGTCCGCAGCAGGTGCGAGGGCATCTCGAGCAAGAACGCGACGGGGCGCTTCTGGCAACACCCGACAAGGGTCCGGACCTCCCTCGCGCGCATCACCCGCGCCCTGCGCCCTCCCTCCGCCGCCATGCCGCGGATCCACTTCGGCCTCGGCGAGGACGAGGGCACCCTGCTCGCCACCCTCGCCCGCGGCCTCGAGGCAGAGGTGGAGGTGGACGCGGGCAGCAGCGTCGACTTCGCGAAGAACAGGGCCACACCGGCGGCGCGCAAACGGGGTGAGGCCCTTTTGCGGGTGCGGGGACGGGGGCGGGGGGTGCCTTTTCTGATGACCGCCCCCAGCTTCTGGGCCCCGCCTCACCCCCTCCCTCTTCGAGGGAGCGCAGGCAGGGATTCGTGCGTGCGGACTGGCGACGGGCTCCGGTTCCATACCGCACCGGAGCTCTCCACCGCCAAATCGGGCGGCTCTGGCGCTATTTTGGGGGGGGCTCTTCCCCCCGTTTAGCTGCCTCGATACGCCCGTTTTGAGACGCAACACGTTCCGTGGTCAGTGGTCAAGAAACGTCCGTGTCAATACGTTGCCTGTTGGCTCAACGTATTGGCCCACGTGATGGCGAAGGCATCGCGTCAGACCTACGTGTTCTGTCCACGTGCTTCTGCGTGCTGAGCTCTGTTCCAACGCGCTGCGTGTTGCGGGCTGCGCATCGGGGCAGCTCAGGCTCCCCGAACAGAGAACGCGCTTCGGGGGGTACCTTCCAGTCCGTGGGTTTGGCGCGCCCGCCCAGACACAGACATCCAGCTGCTCCATTTTTTTCCAATGCGTGGGCCCCAGAGGTCCAGACCACTTCCCTGGGACCGGTTTTCCGTCCTGAATCGTTCTGGTGACGCTCCCGAGGCCCGGCGAGGGCCCCCGAAGGCCGAAAATTGTCAAAATCCCGCCGCTCCAATTTTTCGGGGAGCGTCGGGTCTCAGGGGACCCCGCCAGGAGGAGGAGAAGAGGAGGAGGAGGAGGAGGAGGGGGAGGAGGAGGAGGAGGAGGAGGAGGAGGAGAGGATCGAGCCGAGCCGCTCCGAGCCGCAGGAGTGCCCACGAGGGCCTCCCGGGGGCGCCGTGGGGGAGGGGGGGGGAGACCTGCGAGCCTCGCCCGCCCCTCGCGGCGGACCCCGCCGCCCGCCCGCCGGGGGGGACCTCCCGGAGGCCGCCGCAGGGCCTCCAGAGGAGGAGGATCGAGGAGGAGGAGGGATCGAGGAGGAGGATCGAGGAGGAGGATCGAGGAGAAGGATCGAGGAGGAGGGGGAGGAGGAGGAGAAGGGGGATCGAGAAGGATCGAGGAAAAGGATCGAGGAGAAGGATCGAGGAGGAGGGGGAGGAGAAGGATCGAGGAGGAGGAGGAGAGGAGGAGGAGGAGGAGGATCGAGAAGGAGGAGGAGGAGAAGGGGATCGAGGAGAAGGATCGAGGGAAGGATCGAGGAGGAGGGAGGAGGATCGAGGAGGAGGACGAGGAGGATCGAGGAGAGGAGGAGGAGGAGGGAGGAGGAGGATCGAGGAGGATCGAGGATGAGGATGAGGAGGAGGAGGGGATCGAGGAGGAGGAGGAGGAGAAGGAGAAGGAGAGGATCGAGGAGAAGGATCGAGGATGATGAGGAGGAGGATCGAGGAAGGAGGAGGAGGAGGAGGAGGGAGGAGGAGGAGGAGGAGGAGGAGGAGGAGGAGTTGCCGCAGACGGATCTCATGGGGTAGTGCTGCGGCGTCGTCGTCGTCGTCGTCGTCGTCGTCGTCGTCGTCGTCGTCGTCGTCGTCGTCGTCGTCGGGCGCGCTCCTGGAGGGCTCCGGAGGCCCCCGCGCCCAAAGGAGGGGCGCAGAGCGCCCGTGGGCCCTCGATCGTCGGGCCTCGAGGCTCGAGGCCGCACCAGGGAGCGCTGACCCTGGCTGCTCTCCTGCGCTGGCCCTGGCTGTGCCAGCCCTGGGCGCGCGATCGATGCGCACGATGGGCCCCCTTCCCAACAGCTCCTCCTCCTCCTCCTTCTCCTCTCCTCCTCCTCCTCCCTCCCTCCCTCCCCTCCCTTCCTCCCTCCCTCCCTTCCTCCTCCCTCCCTCCCTCCCTCCCTCCTCCCTCCCTCCCTCCCCTCCCCTCCCTCGCTCCCTCGCTTCCTCCCTCCTCCCTCCTCCCTCCTTCTCCTCCTCCTCCTCCTCCTCCTCCTCCTCCTCGATCCTCCTCCTCCTCCTCGTCCTCCTCCTCCTCCTTCCTCTCCTCCTCCTCGATCCTCCTCCTCCTCGATCCTCCTCCTTCTCCTTCTCCTCCTCCTCCTCCTCCTCCTCCTCCTCCTCCTCGATCCTCCTCCTCCCTCCTCGTCCTCCGCCTCCTCCTCCTCCTCCTCCTCGATCCTCCTCCTCCTCCTCCTCCTCCTCCTCCTCCTCCTCCTCCTCCTCCCTCCCTTCTCCTCCTCCTCCTCCGTGACGCAGCGCGCGCACTGCGGGGTGGCGCGAGGGGCGCGGGCCGTCCCGTGAGATCCCAGCGGCCCAATCTTTTCGAGCAGGGCGCCTTCGACGGGTTTCGTGCCCGAGGACCCTCACAGATCGATGCGGCTTAAAAGCTGAAAAGCTGGCGCAGATAAATGAGGTCCAGCGGACGGGGCTAGGACGAAGATTAAGCAGGTCCAGAGCGCTCCGGAACGCTCACAGAGCGTTCCGGAACGCTCCGTGAATGCCGCGACACCCGATACATCTTCCAGATTCTCGATTGATCCATCCGTTGTTATCCTCGTCCTGGCTTCGTCTTAGTCCAGGGTTCCCGCAGCGATTTTCTGCAATGTTTCAAATTCTTGTTGCGCCGTCAGCTCTCAGGGTCTGACACGGGCGGGGGGCTTTTTGGAGGCAGGGGCCTGCCTGGAGGGGCCCAGGAGGACTTCACGAGTCTTCGAGTAGAGGGTCGACTACAGAATTGATTTGCCCCAGACTTCTCTTTCTGTCGGATCTACGAAGAATGCGTAGAATGCTATGCGGATCTACGGAGCATTCGACGTCTTCTTCGTAGTCTCGATGTGAAACTTAGTTCTGGGTTAAAACCATTATGTAGTCGATTCCCTACTCGAAGTCTGGGCCTCCAGAATGGGCCCGAAGTAGATCTGGGTCGGAGGATCGCGCCGCATTGCCGATGCATCGGCGACGCATGGGCGATGCGGCTCGATGTGGAGCCCTATGTGCTCCACGCCGGCGTCGCCGACGTCCCGGAAGTGGGCCATCCGGGAAGACTCCTTTTGGGTGACGCGTGAGGGGGGGCGATACATGGGGGTCAGTGAGGGCTGCAAAAAATCCGAGGCGGGAAATTATACATGACCACCGCCTGGAGGATCAATTTTCGGGGACCACGGCAGGCGGTGGATATACATATAACGGCGCACCGGGTCCGGGGGCCCGGGGCCGGGACCCCGACCACAAATGTGGGCCCCGGGGGGCCCGGAGGCTCGTCGGACCGCCGGACGCCGTCCAAGATCGTTCGCAGGCGGCTTCGGAACGCGCTCCGATGGCTCCAGACGCCTTCCAAGACGCCTGTCATGACACCAAGAAGGTCCCAGAAGCCTCCAAGACGCTCCGAGAGGCAGCCCAAGAGAGGCCCAAGAAGCAACAAATCGTGCCATTCCTATGGGAAAACGTATATTTTTCGCATGTTCGCCTCTTGGGCTTTCACCGCGTCCAAGACGGCCCAAGAGGCGCCCAAGACGGTCTACGAGGCCTCCGGGAGCGCTCCAAGGCTGCGCACGAGTGGCCCAGGACGGCCCCAAGACGGCCGAAGAGAGCCCCAAGACGAGTTCGAGAGGGGTCCCAGACGGAGAAAGCCAACCTCGAATTCCGAGCTTCCGGCCCAAGAGGCTCCAGGAGGCGCCAAAATGCCGCCAAGAGGCGCCAAAAGGCTCCCAAAAGCACCCCAAGACGTTCCGAGAGGCACCCCAAGAGAGGTCCAAGAAACAAAAATCGTGCCATTCCTATGGGAAAACGTATATTTTTCGCATGTTCGCATCTTGGGCTTTCACCGCGTCCAAGACGGCCCAAGAGGCCTCCAAGACGGCCTAGGAGGCCTCCGGGAGCGCTCCAAGGCTGCGCACGAGTGGCTCAGGACGGCCCCAAGACGGCCCAAGAGAACCCCAAGACGACTTCGAGAGGGGTCCCAGAAGGAGAAAGCCACTCTCGAATTCCGAGCTTCCGGCCCAACATATCCCAGGAGGCGCCAAAACGCCGCCCAGAGGCGCCAAAAGGCTTCCAAAATCAGCCCAAGACGTTCCGAGAGGCACCCCAAGAGAGGTCCAAGAAACAAAAATCGTGTCATTCCTATGGGAAAACGTATATTTTTCGCATGTTCGCATCTTGGGCTTTCACCGCGTCCAAGACGGCCCAAGAGGCCTCCAAGACCGCCCCAAGACGGCCCAAGAAGCTTCCAAGAGGGCCCCAGGACAGCCCAAGAGGGCCCCAAGACGGCCCAAGAGGCGCCCAAGATGGCCCAAGAGGGCCCCAAGACGGGCCCAAGAGGGGGCCCAGAGGGGGACCACGAACCGCAAGCTCGAGCCTTCCGCCCCAAGAGGCCGCCAGGAGGCCCCAAGGAGGCCCCTCAAGAGGCCCCAGGAGACCCCCAAGAGGCCCAAAGGAGGCCCCGAGAAGCCCCAAATCGGCCCCCAAAATGCTTCGAACCTGCTTCCAGGAGGCCCCCGACAGGTTCAGAGGCTCCCGAGAAGCTACGTCAAACTCCCAGCGAGCGGCCGGACGAGGCCCCCCACAAAATCACAAGAGGGTTCCAGTATTTGTATCCTTCAGCGCTCTCTGGCCTTCTTCCCCCTGCCTCCTTCCCTGCGACTTTCGTTGACTCAAGCTCGCCTCCTAGCTAGAACCGAAGCGCGCGCCAAGCGCGCGTGGTTCTAGTATGGATAGATTCGGGCTCCAGGTCCAAAATATATCCATATCCACCGCCCGCTGGGGCACCACTACGTCGGTTCCCAGGCGGTGGATATGGATAAATCCCCGCCTCGCGGAAAAGGGACCCTTTAGGGCTCCTGAAAGGGCGTTTGAGGGCCCAAAAGGAGGCCTCCAGGGCCAGAGAAGTGCACTGCCCCCCCCCATCTATCGCCTGCCCAGCCGAGACGGCCCCTTCGCAGCAGGCCCACCCCCGCCGCCGTCCCAGAAGGCCCACGCCCCCCTTCCCCCCCTTCTCGCGTGCCACCTCCCGAGCAAGTGCGCGCCACGCTGGCCCTTTCGAGGCCAGAGCCGCGCGGG